AAAGATATATAAGTCTATCCATCCACCACTTTTTTAGGTACTCCAATATGTCAACAGTGGTTGCCACCTCCACCTACCACAAATGTTATACTTTCTATGGTTATATGCCTATGTCAAGTGGATTCGGCAATAAACTATACTATACTTTCCAATAACTGATAACAATTCAAGCCCATTCACCTTTCTTACCTGAGAGGTTTATATCCTCATGAAGCCAGGTGTCTGTCTATTCAATTATTTAACTAGTATTTAATTACGGTTATCCCAACTAGTATATAATAAAGCAGTCAAATGACTCGAGGGTATTTTGATCATTCAATATTAGGTCCATGCTATTTGCGAAAAAGTTTTGCATAAAGATGCAGTACTTGGGTTTCAAATTATAACTCTTTAATATCCTTTAATATTTCAGTTTTAGAAACAAATATTTTCTGAAAACAAAAAACGCTTTATTTCGTATAACGAATTGAGATTACAAACCACTTTATTATATATATAACTGCAAGAAAACCAAGAAAGCTGGCAAGGCCAGGGCTAGTCACCCTTGTGAAAATTTAAAGTTCCTAGGTGTTCACTCCTCATGTGTAAAAACAATATAGGGAATATTTCAAAATACTCACTGAGCATACGAGGTTCAAGAGCTTCTAAAAACTCGAGGCTGGTAATGAGGTAGAAAGCATCTGTGGGGTACTTCTGTTTAAGGCAGGCTCTGTCAACCGCTTTTGGCCACCTAGTAACAATTCCTTTTCTTCTGCTCCACTTCAAGTTGTCCTTGTCTGGCTTTGTTATATCGTTTAAAGACAGGCTGTAGTACATTTCATCGAGTAGTTTGCCAATAACACGGAATTCTTCCAAGTCACGAAATGCTTTTAAAACATACCGGGGAAGAAGAGAAACCATTTTATGAACATCTCCAGACTTCAAACGCTCAAGTAATGGTCTTGCTAAAAATGGTGGACTGGCTTTAGATGAATAAGAAATAATGATCGAGGTAATGTGTATCAATTGCCTGACTGGTAGCATATAACATCTACTCTGCAAGTGCCTGGTTAATAATGACACCAGCTCATTATCCCTGATGCCATAAAATGGATGTGCCAACACTGCAATACATTCTAAAATCATTCTTAATTCACGTGGATGCCCATTTAAGTCATTCCAACAATGCAGAAAACACATTGTGAACTCTTTCTGACTTGCTTTTTTGACTGACCAAAGAATGCTATGGTCACTTAGTAGCATTTCTGCTACCTCTATCAGGCTGAAGACACTCCCCTGACGTAAACTTTGAAAGAGTTCCTCTTGCAAGATCCACCAGTCAGTATCCTTAAACAAACCAGTGCTTACTGCACAAAGCAAACGCCCAAAATCTGGACCCAGCAAATGACTACTACCTTTCTCCATATTTACATCAACATCAACTTGGGGTATCAAATCAGTCTTGTATTTTGAGTTACTTAAAGGTTCACTGCCATGGAACCCAGATATGGATTGTACACAGCTGTTGAAAACACTGCGACCCAAACTTACTGCACGATGGTTTAAATTACCAATAACCATAAGACCTTGCCGTGTGATATGGTGGCCAAGAACAGAGACAACATCATCTTTGTTGGCTTGCAGAGTGGAAAAGACAATCTCCTGCAGGGGAAAGTATTCATCTGTATTTATACTTCTATTTGGACTGTAAAGGCCAAATTTTCTTGGGGCAGACATAAACAATATAACATGCTTGATAATCTCGGCAGCATTTTGGTTGAGAAAACCGAGATCATGCTTCTCCACCTCTGAATTGATGCGACTGGCAACATCCCTAAACATGTTGTCGCTCATAAAATGACTCAATTTTTCAGCTATTTGTAAAACTGATACCAGATCATGGTGTTCAAAACCCTTTTCATTTTCCCTAAGTACATCTTTGAAGCGTTCCACTACCTGAAAAAGAAATAATTATGAGTACAGTAACTGTAAAATTCACACACTCATCATCCTCAACTTTAACATGTTTTCATAAGGCTACATTTTATTAAATTTATCAAAACAGCAGGTGTTTGTACAGTTGACAGAAATGGTTAAATTGTTCCCTATTTATTGGTCAGAGAAAGTTTTTCTAAAAGTCTGTGTCTGTGCATAAAAATGGCATGCCTTTTTAATGTCTATTTCTAAACCTCAAACTTTGACTGCTTAAAAGCTGAACAAAAACTGCTAAAGACATTTTTTTCATTTCAGGAAGGAGAAATTCATACTGGAGACTTGGTTTTTTAGCATTTTTTCTTTTTTTTTAATTCAACATAGCCACACACACACA